GACACCAAGCCCAGCCACGATGTCAGTGATTCCAGAAAATTCTCATATCCCAGAATCTCATCTGTCCTGGTCTTCCATGAAGACGTGTTGATCGTTGGCATCGATGGCAGCCACTTGTCTGACCTTTGCAGTGCGTCAAGCTGAAAGTTCTGCGATCCGCTTCCAGACGACGAACCTGGCACCTGGGTACCAGCTGGAGCGGCGCCTGATGAGCCTCATGGTATGGAAGTTCCATCGGGCAAAACCAACTTTGCAACACCAATGGATGCAGCTTGCTGACCTGAGGTGGTCTGTGCAGCGGCTTCGAATGGCGAAGACAAACCTCCGTTGGGCGTCGGCTTCGAAGGCATTGGTTTGCTGTCCAAATTGAATGGACTGTCACGAGGCTTTCGAGGTGTAATCGGCAGCTGTGTGGCTTGAGCGCGCAAAGAATCCAATTGAACCTGCTGAGCCTGGAACGCTGTTTGCGCTTGTTTCATAACCTCTTGTTGTTGCTGAACCATACCAGCAAGTGTCACAATTTGGCTATTCATACCAACCAGTGACTGCGTCATACTGTTCAACTGGCCTTCCAATCGAGACGAAACAGCTGGTGGCAATGTACTAGGATGAGGAGCTTCTACCACTGCAGGCAAAGAACGAAGCCGTCTTCGGCCTCGAGGTGAACGATCTCTAGGTCACCTCCATCGTTCACAGATTCGTCTCCCATGGCTCGAGCTCGTGTTCGGATGTGAGTGCTGTGGTTCCCCAAAAGGTTCTGGATCGAATTAATTATGAGCACCATGTGCTCCGCTACCATGCGGAATTCTGAACCAGATTGGAACATGTGGGGAACCTAACATGAGGCATGAAAGGGAACATGGGACATGACCCGAACCCAAACACACATCGCACCTTTTCTCGCTGACTCATGTCATGCGTTCGAACGACGAATGGCTCGGCCTTGAGCCAATGCAAGCATAGGATCGATTGATCCGTGCACCATGGTTGGGAATCCATCCACAACGAAGGTTGACAATGGCCACATTGGAGACCTTCTGGATATCTAGAGCTTCAACTCATAGACTCCCAAAACTTGCATAGTAACCTTCACGGTCACAACTGGAAATGATTGGATCACGAGTGATTTCAACTTTCCACAGTGCCTGGTACAAGATTGCAAGCCCTGACAGCGATTCCTAAGGTGTATTGTCCATGTGGCTGTTTTGATTGCTTGGGAGAGTGTTGGTGGATGATGCACAACCACAGAAGTTCAGTTTAAAGCTTGAACGATGGAGGAGATGTTTGCATGTTTTGGATGACAGTTCTGCAACCTGGACGTATAAAGACTCATGGAACTAGGTGCAAAACTTGATTCAATGGATGGTGAGAACATCTTGCGGCAGTAAAGCCTCACAAACTCGAGCATTCCAAACAAAAGCTGGACTTCAAGCCAAGGTGGAATTTTAATCACAGCTCGTACCAGCAGAAGAGCTAAGGCTATCTGTCCTGGATGAGGCGCAACAGCGTGTGGACTTTCGTCTGTGTACATGTGCTCATAGATTTCCTGAAGGACAGAGTTATTGTTTTTGCTGTTTAAAGGATGACAGCTCTGAAGGGCACCTGCAGGGAACTGTTTGAAGTCATGGTCTTCTTCAAGAACCGTTGCTCCCAACAAAATTTCCTAACCAAAGCACAAGGAGAGAAGCAACACCAAAGAAATCAATATCCGCATGAAGACGGTATTCATGTCATATCTGCTTGTAGCCATAGCCATAGCCTCTCGTATATAATCCACCGCAACGCATGTACCCAAGATGCTACGATTCTTCCACTGGGGTCAGTGGTGTAGGTGGGCAGGTCAGCTCATTGCCAAATATAGTAACAATCGAAATACAGTACACCAAAATGTCTGATCCCAATTCGACCAGTTCGGATGGAATCTTCGATGGAGTCTCAACAAAATTTGCCTGTGAGCTTTTGCCAGGAATGGGATGTTCAATCACGAAGTTCCTCTTGAGTGACCCTTCCGCGTGCTCCAACATGTTGGAACCATGTCCTCCCAAGTTGAAGACGCGAGGGATGATCAAAGTTTTGATATAATGATACTATATGATACTGATGTATTCGGTTCATTGGGGAAGGAATGGGATGGGTGCACTCACGATCACTCACGAAACCAAAGGGTTACCGTATGTTACTGTACTCATCCAAATTCCATCAAACTCCAGTGTCCTTTGGTGAAACAACTATAATATACTATATACTGTAATCTTTCGCCATTATTGCCAAGGACCGCTTCATGTTTCCACCATGACTTGGCAGCACCTTCGCTTTTGCTCATGAAGATATAGGGCAGCTGCAGAAAGGTCCAGCTACATGAGCAGACCCTCGAAGTCCAACTTGAAGTAGTTACAGTAACATATATTATGATCAAGCAGACACTGATGAGAACGTTGACATGAACAGACAAGGGAACATGAGAGAAAGAGGGAGAGAGAGAGAGAGAGAGAAAAAAAGACACGCGCACAGAGGAATATCGCATGAATCATGGAGCGGCCGCCCACGATGAGTTGCCAAACTTGTCTCCTTTTGGGAACACCCAAGGAGGTGAAGCAGCTGTTTGTTTGAGTGAAGTGGCTGGATCCTCCAACGAGCGCATCGACGAGGTTGATTTAGAAGGAATAGACATTGGCCTTGACAAGGAGGATGAGTGGTTCCAACCTGACATAGCTCACCAACCCTCTTTCTTGGCAACGATGCGAGTAGCTCCAGGGGTTTCGATTACAGATCTCAATACTGGAGAGATGAGATTTTCTGAGATGCAGAGATATGAAGGGCAGATGTCACGACTGGAGTACCTTGCCTTGACGGGTTATGTTCCAGAGGTCCCACCCGAAGATCGTTCGCAAGTTCACGAGGATGGAAAGACACTGGACATCGAACCAGATGGCCGGGTAGCTGAGATACGCGAGCAATTTCAGGCGGAGATGACTAAAGATTGTAGCAAGCAGTTGACTTATATAAGTGCCATACACGCCCCCCGGGACCGGAATTGTTTGCACAGGCCTCATGACTTTTGAAAGCCTTAGATGTACGATTTTTTTTGCCTAAATGTTTAAGCATGTTGAAGCACGGCCGGTGCTGCCGCTGCGGTAACGGACCATGAGCCCCACGAGGCGCTTTCATTGCTACATCCACCGATGAGACTTCCTCCAAGAAGTCGGCCTTCATCCGCCGTCTCTCGTGGTACGCGAGGGAAAAATGTTCCTCAACCCAAGGCCGGAATGCGCTGCTGGATTTCATATGATTTCGTCACGAGTCATAGTTATTTCATTACCCTGTTTCCAAGCAAACAAAAAAGGAATGTTTCAAGATGAAGAGGAAGTTTCGATGAGAACGTTCCCAGTTACAACACGTGGCAGATAGACAATTAGTTATCTGTGGTTTGCCCTTGCGGGAAGACTTTCTGAACGGGTTGAATACAGAAATAATCGTAGAAACGCAGGGATATCGAGTTGAGTTGAGTTGAATTTTAGGAATGCTTGCAATTCAGGATAAAATAAGATGCAATAAGTAGTATGGGAACAGTAGAGATGCGTTTACTCATAGAATATACCACATCACCTCTGTGCAATCATTACAGCACAACTAAGAAAACACAAAATCATGATGTAACGCTTCTCCACACACTAACGCGCCACACATTGCATCACCACATGCCACGTCACCACCGCCCACCATACCACATCACATAGTCAGATGGGGGACTGTGCAGTCTGAGTCATCAGCTGAGCAGCCACTTTTATTTGGGCTTCAATTACTAAAGTAGTCTACGGCATGCTCTATTTGCTTGTCTATCATCAGTATTCGCTTGTGAACGAGATAGGGCCCTCACATAAACGAGATACTTTTGCTTGATGACACTAAATAGTCTGAACGAGATAGTGTGATTTGCCACTAAAGTAGTCTGAACGAGATGCTGTGACATGACATCCTACTTAAGTAGTCTAAACGAGATGGGGCCCCCACTTAATAGATAGTGTATTTGAGTTTAGTACCAAAGAAATGGTGCCGCACAGCTGATCCCTTCAAAGGACAAAGTCATGGGTGGACGGATCATTGCGAACAAGGAGTTGCTTCAAAAATATTTTGGACAAGGAGATTGACCACTTGGATTTGTCGAAGCAAAGCGGCCTGAATCCTTTGCAATTCCCTGAAAAGTCACCCTCGTCGCTCCGCTGATTCAGAGCCCGATCGCCTTTCCTGAGGATCCTGCCTGGGCAAGGTTCACAGGCCTTGCTGAAGTGCGTTGGCACATATGTGCCACTGCTTTCAAGAAACTGTTTGGAACTGGACACCATCATTCTGATGTTGGCTGATGAAATGGGATGATTCTATATGACTCTTGCACACACTCCATGGGATGGGACGGCTTGGATGTGGATTTCAGGAATGTGACACTTGCGGCATATATTGTATGGTGCCCTAGACTGATTTTTTCGGTCGACTCCGCTCCGGCAGTTGTGTCTACCACACAAGCGGCTCTCAACGCGTTTCCTTGCATTGGCCTCAAGATTGAGCCTCAAAGTTGCGCACGACTTCTTAATGCAATTTGCCTGCACAGATTGGCTGCATTCGAGCGTGGAAAAAGCAGTGTCAGATGAAGTAAGCTAACCCTGAAGCAGATGCCGCAAACTAGGCAATGACTGGTACAATGACGTTGGCATGAACTCATTGATAGACCAAGTACTGATTGGTGATGTATCACCAAGGCTTTTGCCAGCAGGATATTGCCAACAAGATGAAACGTTTCTAGTTTCTTTCCTGCCAAACGTCAAAGGAAGTCATGCGACTTTCTGACTAAGCTTCCAGGCAAATGACGTTCTAAAGTCCGAGCAACGACAAGTGAATGTTGTCAGAGGCCAAGCAGAGATCCGATTGGCGTTTACATTTTGTGGCTGTTCGGATAGGTTTAGGATGGTTTACAGTCACTTCATCCCATTAAAGGAGAACACGAGTGAATCATGAGTGAACAAGAGCCAGCGAATGCTTGACAGAGACGATTGTTTGCTCGAGTCCGGTTTCTTCTCTTTCCTGATGAGTGGTGATTGTTTGAGGCCATGGTTTGCGGCCGCTTAAGGACGGGAAAGCTCCAATCCCAGATTCTCAGGTAAAATCATGGGACAGAAACAAACAGAACAAACGGGGTCAACACGTCATACCGTATTACCTGTTGCACACTTGAAGTCACGTGTTCTCTTATACTCTGGACATGAAGCGGGTTCAAGACCAAGAAATATCATCAGACATCAGCAAGCTCAGGTCCTACCTGATGAACTGCTTGCTTCGACACCCTTGCTTTGCCGTTTCATCACAGGAGAACTGTGGACATTGATATGGTCGATGTGATTTTGACGCTTTTGGTTTTGTTAAAGTTTCTTGAATATTTGCACAACGCTCGCATCCAGAGCATTGCTTATCAACGTTTCCACATGTTTAACCCTTTTCTGAAACGTTTGTTTCTTTTGCTGCAGAAGTAGTAGTAGCAGTTGCAGGAGTAGTAGTAAAAGTAGTAGTAGTAGTAGTAGTAGTAGTAGTAGTAGTAGTAGTAGTGCTAGTAGGAGTAGGAGTAGGAGTTGGTAGTAGTTACTGTATATAATTAGTAGTATATATAAATATATATAGAATGTAGTAGATAGATAGTAGTAGCTGGAACACCGCCCACATCGGGTCGTGGTGTTTTGTGCATTTTTTTGGACATTGTCGTCGATTTCGCAACAGTTTCACAACGTAATTGGTAGGCTCATAGCTTATAACGTTGGGTATCTAATGTCTTTTGTTGTTAGAAGACGGGTGATCTTCGCGTCATGTCTACGTAACTGGAAGACATCGTTGTCTACGATGCATGAGGAAAGTGTAGCTGATGCACGTAGGAAGTAGTAGTAGTAGGAGTAGTAGTAGTAGCTTGCGTGGGAATAGAATGGAATAGACCCCAAACAAACAATGGATCACATGACCCATCATAACCCTAAAAGCTTCCAAAAACCTCAATAGTTGGGGACAACTTGAACTGGCTGTTGAAAGGTCAATTCTACTTCGAAGTGCGCAGGGGAGTTGTTCCCCAATGTAATTATTATGCCGTTCAATTCTTGAAGACGCTGAACGAATCTTCCGCGAGCTAATAACGTACATCCAAATCATTTTGCTGATGACAATTGTCATGTCGCACCACAGCCCGTTATGGGCAGTGGACCTAGTAGTTAGTAGTATAGTAGTAGGTAGTAGTAGCTAGTGATAGGTAGTAGTTGGTAGTAGTTCGTAGTAGTTAGTGGTAGTAAGTAGTAGTAAGTAGGTTAGTAGGTAGTAGTAGGTAGTCGTAGGTAGTAGCCGTCGTCGTCGTCGTCGTCGTGGTGGTCGTGGTCGTGGTCGTGGTCGTGGTCGTGGTCGTGGTCGTGGT